ATAAATTGTTCAACTCATTTATTTTTATATATATTGTTCATGGACCATCAAACCTAAATATAACCCAAATTAATATGTTGTTACATATATTACTCCCAACAAACTCTCATTTATAGGTTGACTTTTTTTTTTCTTCTTAAATTCTTAATAACAACATTTGTCTTTTTCTTACTATATGCATTTTCTCTTCTCATTTGCATCCAAACATTGATTCAGCGTCTAGTTCAGTAGCAAAATTGGGCAGGTTCTCTCGCCTTCCTCCAATTTCATTTTCATTTCACAAATTTTTACCAATGCTACTCAAAATTTTAAGTATTCTTATTTTTATTTTTTTCTTTTTGCAGTATTTTAAGAAGGTTTCGATCGAATAGTGGTTGTTGATGAACCAACTCTTGTCTGTTTAAAGGTGTGTTGAAATCTTCATATTTCAAAGAATTTAATAGAAATGAGATTTGATCTTTCGGAAATTGTTTTGCTTTTTCCTCCAATACTTTGAGATCCGACGATTTTAACATGTGTTTTTTAAGTTTATTTGATTTATAATGTATAAACCGAAATACAAATATTGAGATGTTTTTTATTAAGATTTTTGTATTTCCTATAAAATATAATGAATTCATGATACACTAAATATTTATGATTTTTATATTTGCAGGCGTGAGCAACACAAGGTATGTCGACTCCTCTGTCCACTCGTTTTAATAATTTCGAATATTAACTGTTAAATTAATGATAGCTTTTACGATTACCAATATGAAATCTATGGTGTGAACATAATCATTAATTTTTATTCATTAGCATTACCAAAGTTAAATTAGAAAATAAACGATTAAACAAAACCTTAATTTCCAACAAGCTGTTTGTATTTGCTAGAGCTTGTTATTTTCTTTTATTTGATTGAATCTTACACCCTTCTAAACAATATAATAGACTTATTTTTGTTGGTATTTTTATTTAATTTAATAATAATATTTAAACTTCAATAAAGTATTATGAAGTTTTAATGAAAATAATCAAAGCTCTCTCTCTCTCTCTCTCTCTCTCTATATATATATATATATATATATATATATATATATATATATATATATATATATATATCGTCTCTAAGATTTTGAATCATGGTCCTAATTTGTGAAATTCTACAAATTTGGAAAAATAAAATAGGTTTACAAATTGCATATAATTTCATCAAAAGTATTTTTGATGGTATAAAAACATAAATTAAAAGGTTGACTTGTTTTACAAATTTAAAAGGTTGGCTTATATTAAAGTATCTCTTTTTCTAAATCTATGTTTACATTCATTGCATGAAATAGTCTAAGGTGGTAATAGCGCTTTGATTTATAAATATAATAAACCATAATGAATATAAATACATAAATGATTATATACATAACTTTATGTAAATAGCATATTAGATCCTTCGATTGATTGATTCTCCAAGAATATTTGTTATTAACTTTATTATGCATTTATGATATATATATATATATATATATATATATATATATATATATATATATATATATATATATATATATATATATATTATATATATATATATATATATATATAACCGAATAAGCTTAAGCATCCAAAGTCACAATATTGTATCGTTTTCTATTATATATGCATTGTAATCTTTCAAAGTTATTAAAATTCAACTTTTAAATTAATTTACTTCTAATTTTTTTTAGATATTTCACTATTATCTTTCTCTTACATATTTTTATTTACACCTATAATATATAAACATGATAGTTGTTCGATAGAAAAATATGGTGTAACAGGAGGATAATAGTAAAATTTTGAAATTCTTGAAAGTTATCAAGTTAAAAATTAAAATTTAAGAACATTATGATGCATGTATGATACAAAACGATGTAATATGATGGGTTTAAATACCTAAGTTTATATATTTTCAAGGGTATATATATATATATATGAAAGGGGGGGGGGTACATATTAACTAAACCAACTCTTCAGAATAAATCAACTAATAACTTATGATCTGTTTAATAAGAAACTCACATTTTTATACGAGAAATTTAATGTTAAAAAATTAGTCATTTTACGATGTATTTTGGTGTGTTAAGATACTATTTAAGGGAGGAATCATCCCCATATTTTTCGTAAAGCGAGAATTCACAGTGAACGATGAATTGTTCTGTATATTATCTAATTCAAGATTTTTTAACATCATATTAGAATGAATATTCATAAGATTACACCAAATCAATCTAAAATGTTTTTTTTTTTTTTTTTTAAAAAAAAAAATTATTTTTATTTATAGCATAGTGAAGATAAACAAAATATATTCATGTGTTTGTTTCATATAAAAACTTCATTCACAATATATAATTTTGAAGTCTGAAAAATTATAAGTAAGATTTTATTTTATTTTATTTTTTTTATTTAAGGGCATAAACAAATGATTTGATTATAACAAATCAGAATATGAAAGTTCAATACATATCGATTGAAGACAAATGGGCAACAAATTGCGCTGTTAGTTCTTTCTGGATGGCAAAATATATAAAAAAAACTGCGACCAACAAAACACGAGTTATCCAAAAAAAACAATTTTCAGCAAAAGGTTAAGCATTCAAGTATAATTTGAGACGCAATAAGTGTAATTTATTCGTTTTAAATAATATAAAGTAAGTATTTAAAATCTATATAATCTAAAATATTAGGATATTTTATATATATAATATATAAAGTGATGTAACAATTGAAAAACTTAAAATAAGAAAAGAATAATATTATATATAGAAAGTTTGAAACCGTCTCTTTTAAATATCTAACTATTCAAAATCAAGCCCACTTCTTTTTTCCATTTAGAGGGTGAGGAGGGTCCATGAAATGGGTATGAAATAAGGAAGGAAGAGAAAACTCGTGATAAAGCCTTGGACGCGGAAAGAGGGGGTGGGGTGAGCGGGACCCACAAGAGTTTTTGTTGCGTATGAAATGACGTCATCACATGGGAGGATATGACAATTGACAGCTAGTGCTCCTGGTTTTGTTTGGGTGAATTGCACTCCATCACACGGCATCATCCGCACATTGTGTTGTTGCGTTACACTCTTTGACTTTGACTTTTCTCTATTGCTTCGTAACGGAAAACCATTATGATCATGATAAGTGTAAAAAAGAAGGAATCATATTATTATTATTATAATACTTTGTTAATCATCTATAACATAATTTTAATATTTTTAATTTTATATAAAGGATAACTATCAAAGATGAAACTTATCACTTTTCACATTCTTTGTAATTTAGTTAAATAGGGGAAAAAGAATACTAAATTTGTTACAATGAAACAGTAAAGAGTATAGTTTACGTTTTACGGTTATTCAGAAAGTATTTATATAAATATTAAATTCCATTTATTTCTTTTAATAGTTTTCATCAATAACTTGAAAATAATTCTTAAAAATTGATATGACATTAACCGGTTATTTCACAAGACAAATATCGGAAATAACCAAACTATTCTCTAATAATTATAATCATTAAAATAATAAAGATAAATATTATTTATATGGTCTTTTGTAATTTATTTCACCGCGAAAGTTTGTAATATGTTTTTTTAAAAATAAAACTCTCAACTGCTTTAAAAAAATAATTTTGTTTGTTAAAAAGAATCAATCGTTTTTATAGAATTTACTAATTTAGCTACTATTCTATAATAAAAAAGGTAGCATATAGAAACATAATAATTAAATCTATTTGAAGAACATAAATGCCAAATATCTTGTAGGCTTATACAAGCCTATAACATAAAATTATTTATTATCTTTATTAAATACTATGATGATCCTCTTCTACCTAACAAAATATTTCATTCATTTAATTTGATGATTTATTAGTATGTTGCTCGTCTATTTCCTAATATAATAGTTAAAATAGTTTTAAGTTTTCATACTTATATTAGGAAAAATATAATAAAAATATAGCTAAGTTAATTAAATTTCTAGCGTAGTTATATTTTTTGCAAATTCAAATAACTAAACTACAAGAATAATAGTATAAACAAATTGATTTTGATTAGAAAGTTTTACCATCAAATATGACTACGTTTTGCTTTTATAAGACATCAAATTACTAAATATATTTATTATCATTGTACTTTAATAACTAATTTAAAAGAACGTTTGTGATTATTATCATTATTACTAGAAGAATAACTCTTAAGTTTAGAAATTAAGTAGGAAAGTAATTATCTTTTTCTTTGTTTAGGTGCTGTGATAATTATAAATGATATCATAACAAACCTATGCAATTTATCCTTTTAAAGTTTGGATATACTCCATATAGAATATTTGTTTCATTCAAGATTTGTGATTCTTGAAGGCTTCCGCACCATACAACCCATAATTACACATTGCAACCCTTCACTTATAAATCGTTCAAATAAACTTTTTTTCTTCTTTTATTAACTACAAGTATTTCTTTTTCATTCTGTAAAACCCGTCAGCTATCCATTTTTTAGGAAGATAATGTAATTAAGATAGAAATAACGTATTTCTTGATAACTATAAAGTTATGGAATGTTAATAAGGGGTGTATGGAAATAGTAACTACTAAAGGGACTAAAATGTATAGGGATGCTTTTAGAAGGGTAAATTTTGAAATTATGATTTAAAGATTTCAGATAAAAAGAGATACCTAGGAAAAAAACAGTTGGATTTAATCATAAATACGAGTTCGAATTGGTGAGAGAGACGTGAACAAACAGGGCCAAAAGGTTTTTCTTTTTCCCCGCCAGCTGTTCCGTTTCAGCAACTGTGTGTGTGTGTGTGAAATTATAGAGAGAGAATCTAGAGAGAGAGAGAGGGAGATCTCCCGCCCCATTCTCCTCCTCCCCTTGACCTCTCTACTCTTTCGAATAATTCGGCATTCTCATAAACCCCAACCTAGTCTGTAATCTCAACGTCCGTTTTGACTCAGTGCCGTCGAAGCACTCGATCTGGTAGATTCTGATTCGGTTTATGTTCGATCTGATTTTCCGCATCTGGATCACATCGAATCCGAATCCGAATCTATTACCGGTAAGTACAATTCGGATCCTCTGATTTATGCATTGTTTGTTGTAGTTTTGGGATATGATATGTTTGAATTGTAGTTGTGATCAGAATTGCGGTGCTCGCGATGTTTGATTTTATGTAATTTGAATTTGTAGGATTTGCGATCGTTTGACAATGACGGCTGGTACTGAGGTAGTTTGTAACGATGTCGTTCGGAAGGTTGAAATTGAGGAGAAGTGTATAGCTGGCTTGCATACGAGTGATCTGAACGAAGTCGGTGATGCTGCTACTGTTGACGGTAATGTCGGTGGCAATGGGAACAGCAATGTCGGTGGGCATGGGAAGGACGATACTGATGATTCTTCCTATGTATTTGTCAACGGTAGTATTGAGGCGGTTGCTGGTGATCCTGCTGATAAGGGGGGTAATAATGTAGATGCTATCTCTCCTAAATCTGATTCGGCTGATGAAGTTGACCAATTTCAGAAAGAAAAATTAGGTTTGGAAAACGGGGAAATAGCTGTTGATCCGTTGGTGTTGGAAACTAATGGCATCGTTAATAGGTCTGCAACAGTAGGGGATCCTGATGTTAAAGCTGATAAAGATGAAGTGAATCTCGAGAATGGATCCACTATTGATCCTCTTGTGCCGCTGGAGAGTAATGACATTGCTCAGGATGTTAATGGCCATCTTGGCAAGAACACAGGGGAAGAAGATCAAGTTGTTAAGAGCACTGAAATGGATGATGCTAATGGGATCACAAATCTTGAAGCCCAAACGGATGATATTGTTTCTGGAATTACTGTTGATCCTGAGTCCACTCTAAACCCAATAGAGAGTTCACAAGTGACAGTTTTTGAGTCAGAGTCTATGAAGGAATCGGAATCTCAAGTGACAATCACTCAGTCTGTGTCCACGCCTGATCTAATCAACACAACAGATGAGTCACTCTGTACTGCCAATCCAGTTAGGGACACAGACTGTGAAGTGGTGGTTAATGATGGGCAAGAGTTTGTTAGCAATCAGATGGATACAGCAGAAGGTCAAGTAACAATTGATGTGTCGAGTAAGCCATCTGAAGATTTGGAATGTCAAGTAACATCTGATCTATCAGAATCTTATGAAAGTCCACCTCAGGAACTAGAAGGTCAAGTAACAGTTGATGGGCCTGGTAAGCTAGCTGAAGATTTGGAATTTCAAGTAACAGCTGATGAGTCGGAATCTTCTAAAAGTCCACCACAGGAACTAGAAGATCAAGTAACAGTTGATGGGCCTGGTAAGCCGTCTGCAGATTTGGTATGTCAAGTTATAGCTGATGAGCCAGAATCTGAAAGTCCAATCAATGAACAAGAATGTCAAGTTCCAGTCAACGGGTTAGACTCCATTGACAGTTCAGTTGACAATCAAGAATCTCCAGTATCAGTTGATGTGTCAGAATCTAATGGTAATCATACTGAGGAAGTAGATACCACTACAAAAGTTGAGGAGTCCGATGGAAAGTCAGAAGAGCATCAGGAATTGTCAGTTGTTGACTCAGAGGTCAATGTAGAAGCTGAACCAAATATTGTCTGCAATGGGATAGAAGCTGAGCACCAGAGTGAATTGGTGTCAGCTCCCTGCATATCTGAGACCAATAAAGCTGAAGAGACAGTGATTGAATTAGAAGCAGAACCCGAAGAGAATCCAGATTCAGGACTTGTGTTATCTGAGGGTGCAGATATTCTAACCAATGGACAAGTTGAGAAGTCAGATGGGATTCTGGAGATGGAAGAAACTCAGATTTCTCAAACAGTGGCTGATGAAGATGTACCTTTAAAGCTTGATGCCGAGGAGAAAAAATCAGAAGAGACACTTGAGAAACAAGTGGAGGGAAGCTCAGAAACACCGGTCAAAGTTACAGAACCTGTTGAATTTGAGACAAACATTCAAGAGATGAAGGAACATGTCAAGTTAGAAGATGAGATTCAGGAATCACAAACAGAGGTTATAGACAATGTTCAAGATGATATGAATCAGGAGGATAACTCAACAGAATCCACCATTGTGGCTGAAGCACCATTGGAGACAGAAACTAACATTGAGTCCATCGCTCATGAGGATACAGTTTCACAAATTGAAGTCAACAATTGTGTTGATGAAACTCAAGAAGGCTTCCAACAAGATGAAAGTGCTGAAAATGTTAAAATTTTGCCTTCCACTGATTCTATGGAATCACAATGCAATAATGGTGAGTTGCTTGTTGAGAGGGACAGTGCTGTGCTTTCTAATCCTGTTGAGTTGACAGTAGTAGAAACGGAGGTTGATATTGCAGCTCATCTGGTTACAGAGAATGGACCTGTGATTGAAAATGCTGATGTCCCTGAAGAAACAAAAGTTGAGGACACTCCTGTTGAAGATGATTCCACATCAAGAATCCCTGAAGCATATGTGAACTCTGGAGCTGTGATTGAATTTGGCTCAATTGGGCGTCATGAAACAGTTCCTAATATGCCTAATGGTGATATCATTGCTGTGCCAGATGTCATAAATGGGGAGACCAAACCTGCTTCTGGTATTGATAGTGACAATTCTGAACAAAATGTTGATGACAAAATGTCTTGTCCAGAAACCGAAGACATGAATGGCATTCAGAAGGATGAGATTCCTACATCTTCTGTAGAGGATTCTGTAAGTGATGCTCCTGATGCACAGAATGAAGAAGAAGAAGAAGAAGCTGAGGTTCTACCATATAATTTCTTAATTAGGATTCCAAGATTCGAGGATGAAATGTTTAAAGATCAGATTAGAAGTGCTCAGCTGCAAGTTGATGAGAAGACACGCCTCCGAGATGCAATCCGAGTTGAAATTCAAAGCAAACGTGTAAGAAATCTTGGAACTTTAATTTCATAATAAAATTTGGAAATTTTCATTTCATTAATTCATTCTATTTTCACAGGCAAGGTTGAGAGCCATTAATGAGGCATTTAATACAGCAAAACAAGAGGAAACAGCTGCAAGACGGTTAGTTAGATTAAAGCGACAGGAAATAGACTCTGTTCAGGCTGTCATCAACCGCTTGAAGAATGCAGAGTCTGTTGGAGATATTAATCACAGGGTATGTTTCACTCCTCCCTTTTCCAAATCCAAACATTGATGAAATCTGTTAAGTGCTGATGAATGTATGTTCTTGAATCAGATATACAATATGGAGCACATGATACAACATGAAACATTGTCTTTAAAAGATGAGAAAAACCTCATTCGTGAGATTAAACAGCTTAGGACTCTTAGAGAACAACTAGCCTCGAATATGGGGAGCCAAGATGAAATTCAACAGGCTATGGACCAAAAAGATCAAACCGAGGAAAATATGAGGGTATGTGTGTATCATATCATTCAACATTTATCATGTCCTCAATCCCTGATTTTTTTTTTTTTAATTATTTATTTGCAGACTTTAAGGAAGGAACTGGACGTTTTAAAAGTAAAGCTAACAAAAGCTGAAGCAGCTACTGCAGCAGTGGGAACGAAGTATGATGAGCTAAGCAGAAAGGAAAGAGAACTGCAAGATCAGTTCAGAGCTGCAGATGATATTCGTCAAAAAGCATATGCTCATTTAAATAGTTTGAAGAAACAATCATATGACAAGGTTTGTTGAAATTCTGCATCTTACAGATCTGTAGTGAAGATATCTAAATAAGCTGTTAAGGCACATCTTTGTATGTAATTAGCTTTGTAATAGTTGTGAAATGACATCTTAATATGGTAAAAAGGTAGTTAATACGTGCACATAACTAGATTGGTGTACCTTGTGATTAATAAAACATATTATCATGTGTATTTACGACCGCACGATTGATCTAGAGATTAATATGCATAAACTTTCTTAATTACTATCTAATCCACAAATAAATAAATAAATAAAATCACCAAATTAAGAAACCATTAGGTGATATTAGAGTATAGAGACATATGTGTATCCTACCATTCTTCTGTATAACCGACCGCATGCTAAATTCTCCCTTATTTCGACGGAAATAAATTAGCAAGTTAGGATTTGACTCATCTGAGTCAACTCATTAGTAGACCCTATAACTTAAAACGTGTCCTAGGCAGAAGAATAAGATTTCTTTTTCTAGTAGAGTTGTTGATGATTTCATATGCTGAATTTAGGGTGCATACTAGATGATATATTGTTTTTTTGCTTGAGGTATCTTTAGCTATATCTAATCTGGCTGTTACATTTGCATTTACTTGTATTAAGGATTTTGAGAGGTATATTTACTTATTTGCCCCTACTATTTCATATCTATAAACAACAAAACATGTGATAGCTTTTCTCTTTGTGGATACTTGTTTGATACAGATCAATATTACCTTTTCAAGTATACAACTAAAGTAATGTTAACAATGGTTTTTCGTGAATTTACACTTAGACATGAAACTTTGATCATATTTATGCCTTTAGTTATCTAACATGGACCCTAAGGAAATATGAATTTGCATTACTCATTATGCATTTAATTTAATGTATCATGATATATTTTCTTGAGTAATTATTGTGAAAATAATAAATTTTGGGTGAGTAAATTACACGAATGGTCCCTATGGTTTAGGGTAATTTGCGCGTTTGGTTCCTAACTTATTTTTTTAACTTGGAAGGTCCCTACTGTTTGTTTTTGTTACGCGTTTGGTCCCTGTCTTAGTTAAAAAGACTATTTTTCCCTTGGTTTTTTAATTTATTTAGATAAACACACCCACAATCCCACCTCTCTCACCTTACCTTACCTACCCCACTATTTTTTCCTATTTAAATAATAGTATTTTTAGGTAAGATAGGGATCAAGCACGTAACAAAAACACAAAGTAGGGACCAAACATGTAATAAAAACAAACAATAGGGACCTTCCGAGTTAAAAAAATAAGTTAGGGACCAAACGTGTAAATTACCCCAAACCATAGGGACCATTCGTGTAATTTACTCATTTTGGGTGGTTGTGTACACAGAACAAAAACTTCCGCCTGTACAAGGAAGACGTAATGGCAGCAAGAGATTTCGCATCACGTGGAGATAAAGACTCACTTCATCGTTTGTGCGCGAATCAGGTTGTTTAAGCAATCTATTTCATTTATTGTATCCGTTACAAAGGGGTACATACGTCATTTCATTCCATCTTTGTCGGTTCATTCTGTGAAACCAATTAACACGTGATTCTGATTCACTGTAGGTTGAAGCATTTATGGAACAATGGAACAACAATGATGAGTTCAGAAATGATTACGTCAACAGGTGCAATATGAACGCAACCAGAAGACAGAAATATTTTGATGGAAACTCACTCGGTCCTGATGACGTGTCACACGTCCTCCCGCCCAGTGAAACAGTCGACAGGAATCTGGTTTCAATTCCGACGGACGCAAAGCCGGTGTCCGTCATTCCAACCGTGAAACAAGAAACCGTGGTTTCACTTTCCTATTCCGAAGATAGTAAACCCATCAAGAATGTAACGGTGGAAAAGAATCAGACATTGAAAACCAATGATGTTAAAAAGGAAAGTGAAAGTGATACATCAGCAGCCGACAATAATAATAAAAAGGAGGAAGAAGCGAGAAAAGAGGAAATGGAATTGGCTAGAAAAGCTGAGGAATTGAGGAAACAAGAGATTGAAACGAAACTGAAAGAGCAACGAAGGCTGGAGGAAAAAGCTAAAGCAACCGAAGCATTAGAAAGGAAGAAACGCATCGCTGAAAAGGCCCAACTCAGGGCCGAGCTGCGGGCCCGCAAGGAAGCCGAGCAAAAAGAAAAGGTATTATATATATATTTAAATAAATAATAAATGATTTTCATAAAACTTTAATATGATAATCAATGGTTGTGTAGGAGAGGGAGAAGCGGATGAGAAAGAAGGAAAAGAAGAAGGCGGGTGGAGATGGGAGTGTGAATGGAGAAGAAGCTGCAAGTTCAGAAAGCTCAAACGAGGCTACAACTAAAGAGGACATGAGCAGCAACAGTAACAGTGTGATGAAAAAGAAAAAGGCGGCACAGAAACCGCCAGCTCATTTCTTTTCAAAGCAGCTGAAACCGAAACCGGTCCCACCGCCAGCTTCAATCAGAAACAGGAAGAGGTGGCATCAGTGGGTGAAACTGGCATTGGCTGCTATTGGTGTCCTTGCTCTGTTTCTTTTGGGTAACACCGGCTTCTTTATTAATCTTAAGGTCCGCAAGACCGATGGCAGTGCTGGTATCTGAATGAATGAGATATAGAGAAAGCGTTTTTTTTTTTTTTTTTTGGTTTCTTGGATTGCCTTTTTTTTTTTTTTTTTAATATAAAATATATATAAATGATCGATAGAGATATGGATTAAAAGATTTAATAAGGTTGGGGGTTTGTTTAAAGTAGTTATGAGTAAAGTTATAGACTTGAGAGAGTATATGTAATATGGATATGGATATGGTTAAGTTGGAAAATATAATAGGGGACAATGGACATCCTTTTCGTAAGTGGAATTACTTTAAAGATATTAATAAGCTTGTTTGCCTATCTACCTTACTGGTGATTTGATATTTTGATTTGCTTTGCATTTTTTTATTATTTGTGAATTCAATGTTTCTTGATTTTAACAGGGTAGGCAATTGAGCTTGGTTTATGACTTATGACTGATGAGATCTACTAATTTCAACTTGGACCCGACCTTGGTCCACAAATGACTGAAAAATACTAATACATTGTGATCCAAACCCAACGCAATTTCACCACTTTGGTGAAGTACAACTGTCGTACTTTAGTCTTGGCCTAAGGGATGAAATGTACCATCTTCCAAAAAGCTTCTAATACATCATAACCAAATATTTATGTCGTTGAGCTTAGGAAATGGTAGAACATAATCCAAACTTGTATCTTCCTACAGGTGTTCAAGAACATGAAAGGGCGTGTATATGAGGATGTAGTCCATTACGCTTTGTACAAAGCCATTGGCCTTGATTACAACACCCGCAAATTGGAGGTGCATATTTTAAACCTTATGTATATTTGTTCCTTATTATTTAATTATTAAATATGAAATTTAAATTCAATAGGGTATTTCAGATTAGTTCAAATAAAAAGGCTGGAGGCAGTTTTAGAAACTTTTATGTAATAGGTACATGCGGTTAATGAAATTAAGTTTCCATTATTTAATAAATTCCCTTAGTATTGAAATTTAAGTGGAATTAGAGGATTTTTCACCCAGGTCCAAGTATAGTGACTAAAGGTCACAATCAAACAATTTCTCCTAATTAAGGATAGAAGAGTCAATAGCATTATCCAATGCTGTGGCTTACAAAAGGGAGGTGATGATATATGGTCCAAAAACGATAGATTAAAGCTAATGTTTGGAGTTCTTGAGTCGCAATCAAACCCCAAAGGTTCTCCTCACGATTTCAAGACAAGATTCTGGAGAGAAATAGATTAGAGCTAATGTTTGGAGTTCTTGAGTCGCAGAAACGATAGCCTAGGAACACCAATCACGTAAGCAAACCCCTTATTTATGATTATGATTAGGGTTTATGATTAAGAGTTCAAACCATCGATTAAGATAATAGATTGATGATCTTCAACTTTCTTGTTTCAATTCACTGGTTGTGTTTTGCCAAAACCAAACTCGAGGAACAAAGAAACAATGGACATTTGTTGTTTCTGATGTATTTTGCTACTCTACAAGCAATCCGAGTCACGAAAAAAATACCAAAGAGACCGCAAATCACCTAGAATTGAAAAGTAATGAAATTGATTGAGTTTTGGAACGAACCAAAAACACAATCAACAAAGTTTTTTAAATTTACCCTGTTAGCTTAGTTGACTGTTGGATCTTACTTAATATAATTTCAGCAAGGTATGCAATTTGATGGTTGATTATGGAATGTTGTAATTAAATGCATTTGAGTCTAGAAAGCTTATGATTGTATTTTTAGAAGAAATAACATTTGTGCACCCTAGGTGATTTCATGGTTCTTTCTAAGCTTACATCCCTAAAACCAAAAAATTATGTGTTAGTTTCTTGTATGTGACATGTATTCAATGTTAGAGCTGGCAAAATTTAACCCAACCCACAAACCCAATACAAAATAAAAATGTTAATTTGAGATTTTCAACCCATTTAAATTAAATGAATCAACCCATCCAACCTATTTTATTAAATATGTTGGTTTAGGGCAAAAAATTATAAATCTGTTTTCAACTCACCAATCTATCTAACTTTTATATATATATATATATATATATATATATATATATATATATATATATATATATATATATATATATATATATAATTTCATAATTATTTAAATATTATCATCTATTAATTTATAAATTTTAATGTTGTATTATTATTTATGTTTTATAAATATGCAATTTTATTTTCTATTTTTTTCTTGGCGCTGACAATACTATCCACTCTCCAAAATCAATTCGAAATTAAATGTATTTAATGTTATTTGAACCGTTCATTTGTATTTGTGAATAAGGATTGTGTGTGCGTGTGTGTTTTTTTTAAATATAATTTGAAGTTTTATTTAAGTTTGGAACTAAATTAAGTGATGTAATCTTTAGTTAATTAATTAATTTTTTTTATTTCATAAGTGTTAACCAAAGTTTAACCTATTTGTTTAATATGTTGGATTGAGAACTACAAACAGGTCAATCCGGTGACAATCTATTTATCTGAAAGGTTGGATTGGATAGAAAATATCAACTCATTTAAATAAACATGTTAGATTGGGTTGAACCTGAACCCAACCCAGATTGACCTATTGCAGCTTATTTGACTTAACCAACACAAAACCCTAATTTACTAATAAGTTTAGTTTATATTGAATGTTATTACTTATTAGTAATGATAATATTGAAGATGATTCACAAATAAAAACTTCAATTATACATATGAAATGGAATTTGAATACACTTGTTTAAGGGACTTCATTGGATCGATGATCATGAAGAATTCCAAATCCGATCAATATTAATACGAAGGGTTGTAGAGGTTAAATACCGTCTTGTAAAACATGTCCAGCCTTGTACTACATGTGGTGAATGTTTAATGTGGAGAATTATTATGGGGCCACGTTTGAGCTAATAATCTCAAACGCTAATACTTCTAAGACTATTTTTTGAAATATTAAGTGTAGTCAATTTTATAAAAAGTGACACTTTTTTAAATAGTTATGGACATATTTTTATTTTCAACAAAAATATCAAATGATAAAGTTGTTCTTTATATATTGCTATGAATTTTGAAGAAGAAATCTATACGGAAAGTGTTGTTAAGACAACTTTATTTTATAAAATTAGAAATTTTTATAAATAATTAGATGTTTATAAAAGATGAGTAAATTCTTTAGAATTTTATTTGATATTCTCATTGGTATTAAAAAGTTAGAAAAAAAAGCCATTTGGATGAAAAATATAATTTTGAAAAGTTAGAAAATTTGACTACTTATTGAAAGTCAAAGGATAATACGGTAAATAAATCATGCTGGGTAAATGTCTTATAGAAGTGATAAACACAATTCAGTCCCCCTAGTTCAATTAACTTCTTTTGATTATAAAATTAATTCTTAATTAATTATTGATCAATCTTAATTAAACAAATATGATTTCTCTTTTAATATATTATTTTTATAAAATATTAATAAACCATAATAACCTCTTTCTCTATTATTTCTACAGTCAAGTTGCTTTGGTGAAGGCAGCCCAAAAGGACCATGCACAACCGGATCAAATACTTACCAAATATGATTACGGGCTTAGACACTAATCCAACTGTCTTCCACTTGGATAAATCTAGTAATCATAAATGCAAGTAGAATCTAATTATCAATTGTAGCTCTCAAAGACGCTGTCAAACTCTGATCTTATCAGCAATCTGTTCTTTAGATAAGGGTTCGTATGATCCTCTGTTCTAGATATCGTGCAGACAATCACATGGAACATAGTCATACTTATTGTCCAACAGATAGTTTCTCGATATCAGATTCGTTTGAAATAGAACTTAATTGAACACATCATTTCAGTCCTGACCGGGCGCGGCACATAAGTCAAACCAAATCATCAAGGGGCCCTGATATCGCTTTTACCCTCTTAGGATAAAAGGAACAGATAAACTTCAACTTATATGCATCTACTATTCACTAATCAAACCATACACAACAATGCGTTTTATAACATCAAGTTAGTGATGTGTTTTCGCATTATTAATGCATAACCAATTAGCAAACAATAAACCATATATCTAGGTTTTAAGACCATATGATATTATCATCTTGCGATCACCCGTGATAAATTCCATGAAGTGATTCCAACAAGCGTGAGTTTATTCCAATGCTCAAAACTTGTTCATAAGCACTCATGAACGTTGTAGCAAACCTTTGCTATGTCTAATACTCTTTAGACATCTACACACCAATTCATGATAGTCTTCATTTATACCTACTTCCAACATATGAACAACTGTGGACCGTATGAATAAATTCTTTATTCTGGATGTCAAAAATGCAAAATGAAACAATAGGTAAACAATTAACATAAGAGAGTAACTTTACTAATAAATAATAGTCATTTATTTAATCATCAAATGTTAATTACATTTATCTATTACACGTTTCTAAACTGTTTAATCCAAACTAATATCGTCCTTCAGCCTAATGCTCTTAGCATGCTGCAAGTGCTTAACCCTACTCAGTCCCTTCGTAAGCGGATCTGCTGGGTTATCCTCCGATGATATCCTCTTTACTACGAGGAGTCATTCTTTTACCCGATGATGAATAAAGTTATATTTTCTGTCGATATGCCGAGATCTACCATGATCCTCGGTTCCTTGGTCAAGGCAACTGCTCCTTCATCATCACAGAAAATTTCCATAGGCTCCTGTATGGATGGCACAACTCCAAGGTCTCCAATGAAATTCTTCAGCCATATTGCCTCTTTTGATGCTTCGCTCGCTGCAATGTACTTTGATTCGCACATTGAATCAACTACGGTTTCTTGCTTGGAACTTTTCCAAGTCACTGCTCCTCCAGTAAGGGTAAAGACCCAGCCTGACTGCGAACGTTAGTTGTCCCTGTCGGTCTGAAAACTGGCATCACTGTACCCTCGTACCTTTAATTCATCACTCCCACCGAGGACTAGGAACCATTCCTTGGTCCTTCGAAGGTACTTAAGAATGTTCTTGACTGTGGTCCAATGTGCTTTTCTAGGGTTCCCTTGATATCTGCTGACCATGCTCAAAGCGAAGGACACATAAGGGCGAGTACAAGTCATATC